ACCTTATTAAGATTATTTAACTCTTAATTTTCTCCAGTAGTGGGAATAAAAAGCCAATACTGATCTTTTCTAAAAACAACTTGGCAATATAAATCAAGAGTTTGAAGAACGCCTGTCTGTATTCTGTGGGAAATGGTTATAAAAAAATAATCAGGGGTGTGGACATAGATTCCATATAAAGATGTTTATCAATGTGTATTTACAATAGAGAAAATATGAAAAAATATCTAGGTGCTCCCACAATAAGAAAATAAAGTATGGTCTCTCATATGAAGAAATATTACACAGCCATTAAAAAGCATGTCTGGCCCTAGCTAGTTTGGCTCCATGGCTAGAGAGTCAACCTGTGGACTGAAGGGTCCAGGGTTTGATTCCCGCCAAGGGCACATGTCCAGGTTGTGGGCTTGATCTCCAGTAGGGGGCATGCAGGAGGCAGCTGATCGATGATTCTCTCATCATTGATGTTTCTATCTCTCTCTCCTCTCCCTTTCTCTCTCTCTAAAATCAATAAAAACATTTTTAAAAAGCATGTCTGAAAAATTATAATAATACTAAATTATAATAATACTAAAACTGAGAAGCAGTCATTAGTAAAAAATTAAGATATCAAACTTCACATATTCTATGATTGTGATAATCTAATGTTTATGCATAGAATAAATACTGAATGAAAAGACAGTGAATTATATTGGTAGTGATTGCTGGGTGGTGCTGATCTATTTTCTTCTCTACATTTTTCTGTATTTTCCATAATTTCTACAATGATCTTCTATTAGTTTTATAATCATAAATAATATTACAAATGAAAGCTATCATGTCAGATTTGTACAAAGCTCTGTATGGAATAGAAGCTGCTCTGTATACATAGCTTTTAAAGGAGTGGTCCCCATATTAAACTCAAAAGCCCTCAAGGGTGAGAAAAATGCTGTGATGAGCCCTGGACATGTAAACCAGTCTAGGTCTTCTCCCAGGCTAAGGACACATCCTCCATAGTTAGAGGCTTACAGAATAACCCCCGTTAAAGTATGCATCTGCCTAACCCATAAGACATGACCTAGCAAGTCACTTTCAGTCAAATCTGAAAGAGGGGCAGAGGGCCCCAGGTAACACGATGCGCCCAGAACATGTCTGCGGCTCTGACAGGTGCAAACAACTTCGCTCGTCTAAATATAAACCGACTCGGGCAGTTTGGAAAGTCTTTCCCTCTTTCTATTCTCATCAGGCACAAGAATGTCCTCTTTTTAAGTTCTGACCCTTGGTTATTTTTATTTAGATTTTCTCTGCAATACTTTTTATTCAATGAGAAGCAATGTTATAATTCTAAGAATAAAAAACCAAAACAAAACAAAACGATTTTTCTTCCAAAATCTTGGCTGACGGTAGGACCTCGGTTTGGGCTGTCTTTGAAACGTGTTAAGTTGAAAAGGAGACAAGACATTAACAATATTTTTAAAAACGTTCTGGATGAGTACAATGCTGATGTTAACACATGCATACAGAAACGTTGTTTTAATCAGCAGAGTGGAAATTCTTTATGGGAAGGTAGAGAGCTCTGGACCTTTGCCAATTCCTGCCATGCTCTCGCCATTACCCCTGAACGCTAACTCCCCCTTCAGGATGCTGCTCAATGGTCACTTCTTCATAGCCTTCTCTGACCTTCCCCACTCCCACCCCCACCTGCACTGCTACACATGCACAGCTTTCTTGCTAGCTCCCAAAACACAGAGATTTACCTTCAATGCTTTATCCTGCATCGTCATTTAATCTAGGAGCTTCTTAAGAGTAAGATGTTTTCCATTTTTTCCATATCTAGCACCCGGATTTACAGTAGTTATTCAATAATGTGTTGTTGAATGAATGAACAAATGTGTAAGAAGGGACTCAAGGAGTCCCCAATCAGCCCACAGTGAAGGAAGAAAAGACAGTGCTACCACTAATAGACCCGAAAAAGAACAATTTATGGGAAAATAATGATTAGACGAGGGGATGCTTGCCTTATTATTTGAGGAGGGGATGCTTGCCAAATACCATAAAGGGAACTTGGTATGCGTTGGCTAAAGGGTTGAAATTATCCATTTTGACTTTCTTTCTGCTATAAAATGAGAAGGTGAGGCAAGATCTCCACGTCTAAGGGCCAGCCCAGCTGTTGGGTTCTGGGCTCTGGGCTCTGGGCTCTGGGCTCTGGGCTCTGGGCTCTGGGCTCTGGGCTCTGGGACTGCAATGGATTCTGCTGGAACAGTCCTCCAGACCTTGTACCCCAGATCCATTCTGATCGCAAGTGAAACTGTGCTCTTTTCAAACTCATAGATGCCACACTCCTGCCTACCAAGACTGTGGTGTGCCACAACTAAGTTTAGCCCCACTCTCCTGGTCTGAAATAGTCATCGAAACCGCAGGGGAAATTATTACCCATGGTTTCCTAGATCTATGTAAGGAAGATGCTTCCAAACCCTAACGCTGTAAAATTGTATTTACTTGTTCCAACTTCTTCCCAGTTTGGTGCAGATCACCCTTTGCCTGCATACATTTTGCAATACTGTTGGCTCTTTCTCTTTGCCCATTCCGTTACCATGCTCACTACGCTGGAGAAACGCAGCCAACCCTTGGCTTAATAAATCTTCAACCCACTCATCAGCTAATAAAGGGGGTTTAGAATTGGGAAAGGGAGTATTGCACAGAAACTTTATTTGCCAACCGCCTACCAACAGCTGATTTCGCAGGTGGTCCTTTATCAGATTTGCCCATTGAAAGAGAAGAGGACTAATGATCTCTCTTCAGACAGGGAGACTATATCTGGGGAAGCTCTGTAAGCTGAAGGCCTGTATTGGATTACTGTAACCAACTAGCGTTTTAGTCTTAGATCCCTAGTAACATTAGGATGTGCTCTTCTATCTCTGAAAGCAGAATTTCCCAAATACCACGTTCAACATAATGAATTTTCATAAAGCTAAATATATCCAATGTAAAGGACTTTACTCTGAGATTACATCCTTCCTGCATTCTGTTGTTATTGCTGTTAAAAAGAACTTTTATTTAAAAAAAAATAAAAGGATAGTAACAGAAGATGGTAAGTTGTTTTTGGTGTTGTTGTTGTTGTTGTTTTTTAATTCAATGTCTTTACTTGGCACTTTAAAAAGCTGGCACGCCTCTATCAGCTTCCAAAAGTCATTAACATTAGAAAACTAGGATCCTCAGCCCTAAAGTGACCAGCTCAAGGCTGATGGATCATAAAGGAGATTATATAAATGACTATATAAATGTAAACTTGTTATTCTCATAGGAGAGGAGGGGCTTTTGGTCTTTTAGAATCTCATCATTCTCTGTATCATAGAGATAGATCATGGAAGCCCTGTAGGTCCAGGTCATTTTTTAAAAGAAAACCTTTATTGTTGAAAGTATTACGTATGTCCCCTTTTTCACCCCATCGACCTCTTCTAGCCTGCCCCTGCCCCTTGCCCCCTGCCCAGGCCTTCACACCCTATTGTCTGTGTCCATGAGTTATGCATATAGGCATACAAGTTCTTTGGTTAAACTTTTCCCACCCACCCTCCCCCTCCTTCCTCCAGGTCATTTTTATAACAGATTCAAGTCAGGTAATTTCCGCTAAAATATACCTACCTGAGAAACCCTCAACTATATACATGCAACACTCTGTGAGATGGCTTTAGTCCAGGGGTGGGCAACCTTTTTGTGAGTGCGTGCCAAAACCAGCAAAATCTCTGACTCAAATTTCTTCTGTGTGCCAACCCTAATTTTTTGAGAACATGTTACGCCTACTTGATATCTCTTAAGGTGTACATATGTGAAAAAACTTGAAGAAATAATAAAATTCATTCGAGCGACAAAAACACAGTATATGATGATGAAAAATACATTTATTTTTTAATGTATACATGTTATGTAAAATTATTTATTTATCTAAGATGCACCTACACTGAATTTATCTGAAAAATAAAAAAGTCGATATTAAGAAAAAAATTGTAAATGGAAGATTATAAGAGAGGGTTTCGCGTGCCAGCAAAAGTTACTGGCGTGCCATGTTTGGCACGCGTGCCAGGGGTTGCCCACCCATGGTTTAGTCCTTTGCCCCAATAACATTAAAAGAATTGTACTATATTCCTTTCACAGTAATACCTGGACCATGACAGGCACAAAGCAAGCATCCAAGAATTGTGTTTTTGCTTTGTGGGGGTTCTTGTGTGCTTTTTAAATATATTTTTATTGATTTCAGAGAAGGGAGAGGGAGGGAGAGAGAGAAACATCAATGATGAGAGAGAATCATGGATCCGCCGCCTCCTGCACTCCCCACACTGGGGATCGAGTCCACAACCAGGGCATGTGCCCCACCAGGAATCAAACCATGACCTCCTGGTTCATAGGTCGAAGCTCAACCACTGAGCAACATCAGCTGGGCTCAATTAGACCCTATCTCAGGATCTGGGAATAACTAACCCAAAGAAATGCCACCTGAAGAGCCGGGAAACACAAGTCTTTTCTCAGGGCTCCCCGGGTCTCCGCAGGTGGTAGGGAAAGTCACGGTCATCTGTGAACCCCGCAGCTAAAGTGCAGATGGAGGCGGGGCCAGCGGGAAAGTATGGAAAGGTTTTGCCCCGCTAGGACGCGCCTGAAGGAGGAAACCGTAAACCTCTCACGCCCAGGCCTCCTGCTGGAACGGGGCGCTCATCTGCAGGAAAGTGCCTCTGCCCCCTGGCGCCGGGCCCCCGGCTTCTGAGGAAACAGCGACCCACCGCCTTCCCCGCAGCCCCAGCCCTCCGGGCGCGCAGGGGATCACGTGGCGCCGCGGTGCTCGCCCGGCGCGCGGCTCCCCGGCCATTGGCCGCCGCTCGCGTCCCGGCACGCCCATTGGCTGCGGGGGGCGTTCACGTGGAAGGGGGTCTGGGATGGCACCCCGAGAGGGGAGAGGTGGCCCGAAAGTTAAAGCGAGCGGCGCGGCGGCCGGGAGCCGGAGTCCCAGTGGCGGACCGTAAGGAGGCGAGCGGGCTTCTCGCGCGCGGACGGATGCGGCTGCCGGTGGAGGGCACGGACCTGAGTCTCGGCCCGCGCTCCTGCTGTCGCTCCGGCTGCCCCAGCCACCCTGGCACCGATGCGGCCGCGGGCTGGAGCCTCTGCACCTCGGGGCTTATGAGCTGCACCAGGTACGTCCTTCCACGTCCTGGCGTCCGAGCGCGGGGTGATGGCGGCGAGGGGCGCGCAGTGGAGACCCTCTGTCGTTCCTGCCATCTGCACGTTCTCCGTCCAACTTGCAGATACACTCCGGGGTGGAACACTCTAGACGGGCTCCAGGACGCTGCTGCTTCCACGTGGAGCGGGCAATCCAGGGACCAGAGGTGGGATGGAACCCGAGGTGCGGTCCCGCGGGGCTGGGGCGGGCACTTAGGGTACCCTTGCCCTCTACTGTCCCGGCAGAGTGTCTGCGGAGTTGGCCGATGGGGTCTGGAGCACAAAGAAAAGTCGATTCTTCTCTCCCAGGGTCTCGCTTCTCCGTAAAACTCTAGGAAACACACTTTATAGTCTCTCGGGCCGCTGAGAGAGAGGAGACATAGAGCGCCGCGTCAACCCTGTCCCCTGGCCTCAGGTCCCCAGACTGGGGCTGTCCTGACCCGGCGGGCCAGGCGGCCGCGTGGGGGCGCTCGCGCGGCGCGGCGCGGGCCGGGGTAACCCCTCCTCCCCGCCCTGGAGTAATAGTTCGGGCTCCTCCCCCTTCTCCAGGAACTGAGCGTAGACCGGTGGTGGCGGCCGCCTCAGCCACCTCCCACAGGGCTCTCAGATGCAGCTCCGAGCGAGCTGGGGAGGGGGCTGCCCCGCGGCCTCAAAGGTAGGTGCCCCCGACAGGCAAAGGAAGATCTTAGAGGGGGTGGGTCCGAGAGGGATCCTGGTCGGAGTGACCTGTGGAATCCTCCAGCCTGGACGCTCCACTCTTGAACACAGAAAAAGGGGGTGTGGATGGGATTCTGCAGGAAGAGCAGCTAGAGGGCCTAGAAGGACATACTAGAAGATTTGGGGGCCCGTCATGGCATTGTTTCTTGAAGAAGAGGAGAAAATTGAGGAAAGACTTGACTTGGGAACGTGGAGAGTTGCTAGAAGGTGTTGGAGCCTGTGGTTTGTGTGGCCAGGCGTCCCTGGGAGACCCAAGGTGCGGAGAAGAGAGCGGGAGGGCTTGGAGCTGGGGTGCAGAGGGGAGAGGAAATAAAGGGCTCGTTTGGCACGGCTGCCCAGGAGCCAGGAATAAAGGAAGACAGCTGGAGGCCTTACCACAAACTTTAAGTTGAGGTATTTGGGGAAAGTTAGTGGGAAGAGAAGAACCATGGGGCATTATTAGTAACCGTGAATGTCAGAGCCAGAAGGGGTCTCCGAGGAGAAAGCTGGAGCCCAGAGAGGTGTAGTGACCTGCAGCAAGTGGCACGGCCAGGTGGACGCTGCCTAGGCCAGGGCTCTGTGTTTCACGTTGGACGTTTAGACGGCAGGGACTATGCCATTTTAACTCATCTCCTTCCTGTAATATGCTGCCTCAGCCACAGATACTCATCTCTAAGATGCTGTGGACGATAGTGACAGGATAGAATACAAGTGGCTTTTATGGCTGTGAATAAGGGCCCCATGATCAGAGCACAAAGAGAACGATGTCAACTTTATTCATACTGTGTCAGCCGAACCTTTGGGAGGGGATCAAGGAATGCTGAAGGGGTCGATGACTGTGTCTTTTAAACATGATAACCTGTTGCGACTGCTTACCTAATGTTTTGGTGTTCCTGGGGCGAAGGGAAGGGGGGATTATTGGTGCATCTTGTTTTTCTGTCTTTATTTATAAAATTATAAGAGAATGAAAGGGGAAATGTCTTGGCCTCAATACAAAAAAAAAACATTTTTTTTTCAATTACTTACTATAAAAGGCATCGCCAGAAAGTCAGTAGGTCAGCTACCTGGAACTATGAGGGTCATGGGGTTATTTCCTGTACGAGCCTATAGTTTTCGCAAGAGAAATCACCATGACGTCTAGCCCCAGCCAGCTTGGGCTGGTGGTGTGTCATTTCCCCCTCGTGGAACAGGGAAAGCCTTGATGCAAAACTGTCCATGTTCTTTGGTTATTGTGGAGGTTGAGGGTTTGCCCCCTTTTGACCAGGAACACTGAAATCTACCCTTGGGCATGGCCCAGTCAAGCATCTTTTGGAAGCTGAATTTTTGAGCATCCATACTGGTCGGAGCAACAGCTGCTGATGCTCTCGGGAGCCTGTCCTGCAATGAACTGGTGTCCAGGTCCTGTGCGCCCTGCTGGGTCAAATGTGTGTCTTCTCGGTCTGCTTTCCCTCTGGCCAACCTTGGTCACTCTTATTCCCTGGTCTGGGGGAGGGAAAGGGCTGGAGCAGCAGGACAGTCTGTCAGGAGAAGGGGCCTGAGGTACAGCCCGGTGCATCCTGCGTGGGAACTGATCATTTTCATGCCACTTGAAGATAAAAATGCCTGTCCAGGTGCCGTCCTTTCAGGAGCTTAGGAAACTATTACCTTGCATGTCTCTGCTGCTAGAACTACTTCTAAGTGATGGTCATTCCTGTCACAGTCCATTGGAGAATTCCTGAGCAGACGGTCAGGAAGGCCTACACTAAACCAGCACTTGAGTGATTGATTCTTGGAGAATGTTCCAGTTAATAAAAATTGGAATCTACATGTGAGGACAGGCGAAGTGGTCGATAGTTGCGGTCAGACTGAGAGACTGAAGGGGTTCTGGTCAGGGGTTGCTTGTGCAATGCTTCTGGGGCAGTAACCCTTGGGTCAAAAGGTAGTTAACCTCACTTTTGCTTTTCGTGGAAAAAAGTTGCAAAACCGATTAGGCTCTAGAAGGTGCCAGGGGAATTGTTTAATGAGCTCTGGCTCTGGCTGGAACCTCACCTCCCGATCCCCAGCTCTACTTGTTCTTGTAGCTTAGTGGTAAAAGGGATCTCAGGCAAATTTAATTTACACTACTGGGTCCAAACAGTGTAACTTTACCAAATCTTCATTCTCTAACTGTGCCCTTTATTTTAGAATTCAGTTTACACAATATCTTGAGAGTTTCCCAACCTTTTTCTAATGAACTGATTGACTGTTTTAACGTCGTGCAGGAAAGCACGTACGAGGTCGGCTTGCAGGCTAGTTGGCTGGGCAGAGAGAACTTGCAGCTGACCTTGTGCTGACTCAGGCAAGGAGGAAGCGGCTGTGGCCAAGGAGGAACTCTTTCTCCCCCTGTTCATACCCAGGTTGTCAACGGTGGACAGAGTAAGAGGGGCTTTGCCCCTGTTCAGGCTTTTATTTTTATTTTTTTTAAACCAACTACCTGTGTTAAAGTTGAAGCTGAAGGTGTAATTCTAGTACACTCTAACAAAGTTTTGCAATGGACCAGGGGAAAACTAAAATGCAAGTACTTTGCAAGTTTAGGTGTTTGTTTGTTTTCATTGAACCTATTGCTCAACACTCTTAAAAGTTATCTTGCCCAATTAAGTCAGAATTCTCCTTTCCAGAACCACTGCATGGCCATAAGAACAGATAATAGAAAGCAAATGGCCCCTGTAATCTTCACTCCTTTGACTTCCTTAGAGAGGAAACAGTAAGACAAATACCCTTTAAAAATGAATGTTTAGTGGGTGGGTGGGAGGTGATCAACCAAAGAACTTATATGCATATATGCATAACCCATGGACACAGACAATAGGGTTGTGAAGACCTGGGGTAGGGGGCAGGGGCGGGCTAGAAGGGGTCAATGGTGGGAAAAAGGGGACATATGTAATACTTTCAATAATAAAGATTAAAAATAATAAAATAAATGTTTAGATAACTACATTGTGGCTATTAATTATTGTTATATTTTTCTCTGAACGTGTGTGTTTCTCCAGTTGGTCATCACTAAGTGCCTGCTGCATCCTAGGGAAGTGCTGTCATTCTTTTGAAAAATGGGACCGAACCCATTATGTCTCTGGCTTTCTCACTTTTTGTCACTATCTTTGGTTAATCTGGACCACACTTGAGTTAATACTGAACAGTAACCGTGTGGACAGAGATGACGAAAAGCAATGTCAGTCTGATCTCATTGCTGTTCCTTTCTTTCCCCCTTTGCCAGTGTTCTAGCCTGTTCATCTAACCCCATGATGGCTGTGGACATAGAGTGCAGATACAGCTGCATGGCCCCTTCCCTGCGCAGAGAGAGGTTCGCCTTCAAGATCTCACCAAAGCCAAGCAAACCTCTGAGGCCTTGTATTCAGTTGAGCAGCAAGAATGAAGCCAGTGGAGTGGTGGCCCCAACCATCCAGGAGAAAAAGGTGAAAAAGCGAGTGTCCTTCGCAGACAACCAGGGGCTGGCCCTGACAATGGTCAAAGTGTTCTCGGAATTTGATGACCCGTTAGATATTCCGTTTAACATCACTGAGCTCCTAGACAACATCGTGAGTCTGACGACAGCAGAGAGCGAGAGCTTTGTGTTGGATTTTTCTCAACCTTCGGCAGATTACTTAGACTTTAGAAACCGGCTTCAGACCGACCACGTCTGCCTGGAGAACTGCGTGCTGAAGGACAAAGCGGTCGCAGGCACCGTGAAGGTGCAGAACCTGGCGTTCGAGAAGACGGTGAAGATCAGGATGACCTTCGACACCTGGAAAAGCTTCACAGACTTCCCCTGTTGGTATGTGAAGGACACTTACTCTAGTTCAGACAGGGACACGTTCTCCTTTGACATCCGCTTACCTGAGAAAATCCAGTCTTATGAAAGAATGGAGTTCGCTGTGTGTTTTGAGTGCAACGGCCAGACGTACTGGGACAGCAACAAAGGCAAAAACTATCGCATCACCCGGGCGGAATTAAAGTCCACCCAGGGCCCGGCCGAGTCACGAAATGGACCCGATCTGGGAATCTCCTTTGACCAGTTTGGAAGCCCTCGGTGCTCCTACGGTCTGTTCCCAGAGTGGCCTAGTTATCTAGGGTACGAAAAGCTAGGGCCCTACTATTAGTGACCACGTGTGACGGAGCCCAGCTGAGTGGGGCAGACGAGCCCAGCTGCAGTCACAGAGGGACGGAGATGGAAAGCCAAGAGAATAGCTGAACTGCCATCAGGCACACTTTCCGAAAAGAAAGGATCCTATTCACTTTTTCCTTCAACCAGCAAGTCCAGCCCGGCTTAGACCACAGAACCGGTTTCGCGCTCAGAGTGGCCATGGTGTGCCGGTCTGCTTGGCACCTGTGGCAGCCACAGGGTACGGGCAGGATGGTGCCAGCGAGGGTCTGGGCGGGAGCCAGGCCTGCAGGCAGTGCTGGCGAGGCTAGAGGATGGTGGCTTCATAACGATGCCACTCGGAGGGTGCCGGGGCTATGTGGAGGAGCGGCTTAGGAACGTCAGTCACTCGGATGTCACTCCATCCCCAGCCACCTTCTGGCCCCTTGCCGTTCTCTGGCTTCTCTCCACCCAGCCAGGCCCTCCTACCTCTCGCTGCTGTCTCACATCTCCGCGTCCTTCACATTTTGTCTCCATGCGTTTTTTTGGTGTTTTTCTTCGACAGTTCATCTGATGTTCAGGAAAAGATAATACAGGCAAATCGGCCTGGGAGGCAGGCATTTCCTCTTGCTGGGCCCCGTGTGTATTCCAGCGGAGAGCAGCTCGCCAGTGACCCAGAGTAACTGGCGTCCCTGCAGCCTGCGGATTGCTGGCTCAGGACAGGCAGGACAGCCGAGAGTGGGACACGTTTTGCTTCTCTTGGCTTTTGGGGGAGCTTTCTAAGCACTCAGACTTACCCGGAGTCACCAGAAGGCTCACCTACAAGGGGTGTTTCAACTTGCTCGGCTGGTTGGCCGGCGTCTTATTCTTTATACGCGGATTGTAGATCGCCCTTTCTGGAGACTCATCTTTTACACTGTGTTCAGGACAGTTGGGTTGGCAGATCCAATGTATCCTGGAAGCCTTCCGAACATGTTTGCTTTTATTTTGACTGTGATTTACAGGACCCGGGACATTTTACAAGCACCCAGGGACTTTGATTTGGGTGTCCTTATTTATGCTGTGTGAGTATGTGAAAGGGGCAGAGGAGGAAAACCTCTCTAAGTTCTCCGATGTTTGCCAGCTCTGAAATAGCGGACATGAATTGTTCTCCACCGTATTGGACAGAAGAATTACAAATCTGGTGGGTCATGTGGTTATGAGACTCCTGGGACTTTCACTGTCAGATGGATCCCCAGATCCTGTGATTATTTTGGGGCAAGACTGGTTTGTACTTGGGGGTGTTTAAAATATTTTTACATGTGTATTTGTAGAAGGTTTGGGGTTTTTCTGTTTTTGTTTTGGGAGATTAAATGACTGTCTCGTTTTCCTTTTGCCTGATTTACTAAAGTGAGGTTTTCCTAAGGGAAGCAGGAAGTGGGACGCACCGCTACTGGACTCTGCAGGCAGAGGGTCTCCGTCCATTTGCATTTTCCAAATCAATCAGGAAACACCTCCCAGCTTCTTTGTCGATCCTGTCGGGTGTCGGGCAGGTACGGAGTGTCTTGGCTTCTGGAGTTTGGTGGGTGTTTTTTTTTCTTTGAACTTTAAAATGTTTTAACTTTTCAAACGCTCTTTAAGTTGTGTTTGATGTAATTCTTCTTCCTAAAACTGGCTGTTACTAGTCTGTAATCTCGTGCTTTATTGTTTATGCCTCTCCCAGGTGGGCAGCACTGAGGGATGCCATGATAATGTAATTTCTGGGAAAATCACATTTACTTACGCTGAAATGGGGCAGAACTGTGTTTTATCCAAGCATATCTTACGCCAAGTACACAGAGAGCACTTTGTGTTACAAATCTGGTGGTCAGAGCTCTTAAGAGTGTAAATCTAAATTGAATAGAAGCAACATTTTGATTTTGTTTTAAGAAGTCTCCCCCCTCCTCCTCCTCCATTTCAGGAAAGGTACAAGGTGCACTGTCGTTTACATGTTCCCCGACTACAGGTGATGAGATCATTCTGTGTTCATGAGAAAAACGCCTCAAGTGACTTGTGTATGGCTGTCAATAATAGTGATCCTAAGGCATTCCTGTGTCAAAATTTGAAATAGGGTAATTCAGTGATAAGTATCTCTTCTAAAACAGCCATAAACCCTCCCCCTCCCCTGCTTTGCTCCCAGCTCTCCCCAGATATTTTTGCTGGCGGCTCTGCCTGCACGCCCCCAGCCAGTGCACCTGGGCCACTCACCCCACGGGGCAAGTCCTCACCCGCTTGCAAAGACCCTGCTCTCAGTAAGGAATCTGGTTGCCCGACTTCCCTGTCAGCATCGCCATTCAGTGAGGTTGTAGGATCTGAAGAATACTGTCTCCTCCTCACCAAGCAGTCCTCCTTCTGTCCGGCTCTGTCCCAGAACACGAGGAGCGTCTCCTTGGCTCACCCTCAGCCCACAGGTCTGCACACCTGAGAGAGGGGCCTGTTTCTCAGTCGTAGACTCCCCTGCAGCCTGACCTGTAGGTTTGGCCCTCAGACAGCTCTTGGTTGTGATGACAAATGGCCTCCAGTCCGGGGTGCTTCCCGAGTCGCCCCAGCAAGCCCAGCCTCCTGCTGGTGGTGTGGTGCTCCAGGAATGGGCAAGCAGCTCCGTTTTGGTTTCATATTTATTCCCCCTGTGCCCTGGGGAGCACTTGCAAATTAGGTGCAATAAATAAGCTGGACTATATAAAGATAGAATAAACAAGCTTTCAATGTTTCTTGGGAGAGATGAAGCATTTGAGTGGGTTTCTTTCTCTCTTGTTTAATATTCTTGTTATATGGGAGCTGGTGAGAAATAGAGTTATGTAGTTCTCTAGAAATTAAATTTCAGAATCAAGGTAGAATTTATTTTTTTTCTCTAAGATGTAATTTCAATGGTGGCAAAACATGACTCTTTCAATGTTTTTTAAAGATGTAAAGTTTGAACTGCTAAACGAATTTGTGGTTTTGATCTTTGCATATAATTTGCTTTATAAAAACAAGCGTCACTTTGTAGGCACTTGGGATATATATATATATATATATATATATATACCCAAAAAGTGGTTGTTTGCTCACTTTTTAGAAATGCCTGTTTCTGGCTCTTAATGGACAGTGAATGGAAACCTTGGTTGTTTTTTCATTTGTTTCCTCTTTTAAAGTTCCCCGACTGGATGTGGTTTGCCGGAACAGGCCTCGTGTCTTTTTGCTCTGGGAGGTCCCGATCTACTTATCTCCTCAGATATGATCACTGAAATGGGGAGAGTGAAGCTGACAGTGGGATCTTACAGGGTCATCCAAAGACAGCTTGGCAGCTACTTCACTGCCTGAAGTGGGACCCATCTGGGCGGGGAAGGGTAGCTGTGGTTCTGGGCGGCTTTTCCCCACTGCGGTCAGAAAGCATTGCAGCCCAGGTTGTAAAGCTGTGAATGTTTTTACAGTTTTGTTCTCAGTTCCTAGAGATTGCTGGGGCGGGAGGGGGAGGGGGACTCCAAGAATGCAGCTGTGAGGATGGCGTTTCGCTTTGATGTCAATGTGAATGTCCAGCTGAAGTGACTCAGCTTCATTGGATGCCGAAAAGTGCCTTGTCAAGAAATTTCCACGTTTTAAAAAAAAATAATAAATATTTTTGTACACAATGTTCAAGGGGAAATGCACTTTAAAATCACAAGAATGGATGTATTTTGTGTGGTATAAGAGAGTGGTTTGTATCAAATGCAAAAACGTAATAAAGGTAGAAAAAAACACAACAGAAACTGTCCTATTTTCAAACTGCCTCTCTTCTGGGAGTCAGGCTGGGGAGAAAGAGTTTCAAACCATGTGTTTCCACATACAGAGCACAGGTTTGCAAAGGGATGGATCAGAACCAGGGGCTGAGCCAGTGAAGCTGTAAGGCACAAGGAAGGGGTGGGGAACTGCTTTGTAAGCTGTCCCAGCAGCTGATTATAGCTCCGAGAATAAGTGCTGGGGAGAAGCATGGGCCAGCATCGTTCTGAACCGTTTTTTTAATGTATATTTTATTTTTTAATTAAACTTACTGGGGTGACATTGGTTAATAAGGTTATATAGATTTCAAGTGTACATTTCTACGATACATCATCTGTATGTTGCATTGTGTGCCCACCACCAAAAGTCAACTCACCTTCCGTCACCATCTACTGACCCCCTTTATCTTTTGCTACCACCACTCGCCTTCCCTTTGGAACCACCATACTGTTGTCTGTGTCTGTGAGTTTTGTTTGTTCATTTGTTGCTTTTAGTTTTACATCCCACATTTGAGTGAAATCATACACTTCTTAACTTTTCCTGTCTGGCCTATTTCGCTTAGCATGTTGTTCTTAATTCATTTTTAAATACATTTTTATTGATTTCAGAGAGGGCAAGAGAGAGATGGAAACACCAGTGATGATGGAGAATCATTGATTGGCTGCCTCGTGCATGTCCCACACTGGGGATCAAGCCTGCAACCGGGCATGTGCCCTGACGGGAATCGAACCGTGACCTCCTGGTTCATAAGCCGACTGAACCATGCTGGCTGGGCCTGAATTTATTTTTAATGATCCAAGGACCAGTCATTTCTGACCCTCTCACTGGCTCTTGGTTTAGTATATTCAAAGGTGGGAAAACTGTAAGTGGCTCTCAGAGCTTTTAACTGCTTGATCCCATTGTAACCAGCAAAGCCAGCTCCTGATGGCACCCCCTCTCCATTGGTCATCGACGTTCACCCTAAATAAGATTTCCGGAGATGTCTCATTTCAAAGTTCAGAAGTGGGGATGGAGGCAGAGGCAAACGGCAGCCAGGCGATTCCTGCCCATCGGTGTCCGCCACCCTGGAAGGCAGCAGTGGGTCTGCAGGGGAGAAGGGGGATAGGAAAGCTTCGCCCTAGGCAATAGGGACCAACAGTGAGCTCATACATAACCACCTTCCCCAAGAATACAAACACTCTCCACAATTTCCCACCGGAGAAGTGGGAAGGGGACAAAAAGAACACTCTTTTATGAATGTCTATTTGAGATTCAGAATGATTTTAATAATCATATAATTCTGACTTATGAGACAGACATCTCAGACCAACTGGAATAAAAAAAGAAAAAACACTTTCCTCGAGCAATATTCCCAGAATAGCAAACATCCAGCTCTCTGAATAATTCAGTTGAACATTACTGCTGACCTGCATGTGCAAGGCAGTGCTGGGTGCCTTCTCGACCCACCCCCTGGAAGAGGTACTCATGTTTTAGGTGAATCCATGGAGAGCAGTGTGCTCTGCTGTCCGGTGATGTCAGGAGTTGGGAAGCTTGGGTCTGGTCTTGGCCTTGCTACCCCTTGTCAACTGCTGGGCCTCTCAGTTTCTAGCAGGAATAGGACACCAAGGGCTCTCGCCGAGTCCTGAGTCCTTTTGAGAGTTGGCCAAAGTGTCCCTTTTTCAAATGCTTCTAGATATAAACTTGTAAGAAGTACCAGGCACATGCTCTGCATTCTTCCTAAGGCATGAGCGGCATCCCAGACCACAGCGTGGCTTCATGAAGTGTCAGCATTCCAGCTGGAAGGGCAGCAGGGCTCTTCTGATGGGAAAGGACAGCCAGGCCCCGAGTGTGTCTCCTACAGCCACGTAGTCAGTGACGAAGCCGGAGAGGACCAGACGGGTCTGTTGGGTTTTTTCCAAGAATTGTCCCCACAAACTGGAGTCCCTCTCCCGGAGCTGAGACTGAAATGGTGATTCTGAAAGGAAGACCCTCATGTCGGAGATGCAATCCCTGGGGGTGATCGAACACGCCCATCTGTATGTACAACAGGCACATCCCTCCCAGGGCTTCCTCAGCACATACAAGGACCACCGGCCTGTGGAAGGGGACGCTGGAGACAGTTCTAACCATGTAAATCTCTGAGACAGTTGACAACTAATGAAAACAAACATATTTTAAAAACATGGTGTAGGACACACACACATACGCACACACCTGCACGTACACCTGAGCATATGTACGGGGGCATAAAAGTGAACATTAAATAATTGGGTATCCAAGGGCCCGATTGGATGGCAGGATGTAATTGATGGTAGGGAAGCACCAATGGGGCCTTGGCTGCAGAGGCATCTAAGAGGCAGGATGCAGAATGGGAGGCCTCGGCATGTCCTTGCCCCAGAACAGAACCCCGATGGAGCACAGGAAGGCGTTAGCCTTCATTCCTCTCCCTCTGCCATTGCTGACCCTTGGAGAGGAGATAGAGAGGGAATCTCAACCGATGCCTTTGTGTCCACAGGGGTTCTCTGGTAGGTGACATGTCCCCACAAATGCGATGTGCCTCCCAGTGTCGGGCCTTCTGCTGGATGAATTAGGCGAAGGTAGGATGAGGATACACAACACACTTTGGGGGCCAAAGACATTCATAATGACCCAGGATCCTGGCCCTTTACCCCAAAATGCAAGATCAGCTGGCTAGATCAGGGGTCGGCAACCTTTACCTGTAAAGGGCCAGACAATAAATATTTTAGGTGTTTTGGGCCACATAGGGTCTCTGTCACATATTCCTGATAAAATTTTTTTTTAATGCAAACACCATTCTTAGCTGTGGGCCAAACAAAACAGGCCAGGCTGGACTTGACCTGCTGCCTGGAGTTCGCTCACTCTGGCTGAAGAGTCCAATAGGAAGAGTGAGACTTCAGAGCCAACTTGTGGACCCTCAGCTAAGCCTGGAGTCACCTTTTCAATTTGTTTGTTTGTTTAAAGACCATATAATTGATGGTCCAAACTGGGATGCTTTGAGAATGAATGGGGTGCTATGAATTGCAGGAGCAGTCCGGGCAAACCCTACTGTGTGAGCCCGGGCAGCACTCTCACCTCCTCTGGGCCTTGGGCTCTTCTTAGACCTTTGGGAGCTCAGAAAGCCATGGCTAGAGCAGTTCTGGCTGGATAGTGCCTTTTTTATTTTCTTTGACGGGTTATCATGGAGCAGTAATTTTGTCTGTGGTTTAGATGTGTTTCTGTTGGTTAGCTTTTCTGTTTCCTAACTATAGTGCTGATGACCTAAAGCCCTCTTGGAACTCCAGCCAATTCACTCTTAAGGGTAGAAAGTTTAGAAGGAAATGGGTTATTAATGGTTTGAGTTTCTATCCTACTACTTCTCTCCCCCACCCCCACCCCCGATACTTCTGTCCCCAACAAAAAGGGCATGGCAGCGCTCCGCAAGAAAGTTGTTCATTGTAGGCACACACACAGGCTGAATCTAGCATGATTCCAAGCCCCAGTCCCCAGACTGAAGTGCGCCCGGGAATCCTGCCAACTAGAGGGTCTCAGCTCATCTTTCCCTGACCCAGCAAGTTCAAGATGCCTGAAGCACCACAGGAGGCCAAGGAGGTGGAAATTTATCTCCAAAGTGCTCTGGGTCTTGACCTGGAAGAACCCCTCTCCCCTCCTGAAGGCCATCTTTGTGAAGTGGACATGTTGTGGGTGGGAAACAGGCTGGTCCCCGGGACTGCGCTGAAAGCATTTCCAGGATCCACGCACAGGAGACTGACATGGCGAGGTGGTTTATTTGTGAGATAATAGCAAGAGTTCTCCTGGCTTCCCAATCTCCCATCTCCCTCTGTCCCGCCATGGATTAAGTCCAAGGCCAAGGCCAAGGCCATGCCCTGAGTTTCTGCTTCACAGTTCTTGGGAGTCTGTGCAGTCTGTCACGGGTCCCAAGAGGCCACTAGACTGGCATGGGTGGGAGAGAACCCGAGTGAACCTGAGAGAGCAGGTCCAGAGCAAGAGAGAGAGCTTCTTTTGTTCCGTGCAATTGTGTACTCTCAGGCTTGGGAGGAACCAGAAGCTTATCCAAAATAACTAGTCAGCTTCCCAGACCTTCCTGGCTTGCATTGGGGTCCACCCCCTCGCCAGTGATCTTTTCCCCAGGTTAGACTGTCAGGCCTCTGGGGTCAAGCACCTCCCCCTGCAACACTTTGACTTTACTGCTCACGTCCTTTTCTCCCCTGCCCCTCCCCCTCCACAATCTGGTACCTGACAGGGGAAGGGAGGGTGTTGATCCCCTTGAAGGGTCAGTGCAGAGATTCCCTGGGCTGTGAGGCCATAGCCTCCTAGTGAGGCCAACAGCTGACTCTGCTCAACAACGTGGGACTCTCCCTTTGCTCTTTTCTCTCAATAACTCGGTAAGGACGGGTAACGGGCACATGCCCTTCCTTTTGGTTTTGTCATCTCCTCCTCTGGCATGGACACTGCCCAGTGCTGGAGGAGGGACTGTCGTGTCAGTGCTGTGGGCACTGGGAAAGCTTTCCATGAAGCCCCTGTATATCCAAGGAGAACTCTCCATCACCACGGGGTGGGAGTGAGGGGGCTTTCCAGGGTCACCCCTCTTTCACACATCACTTCCTGCACGGCTAGAGCTGGTGGGAAGGAGAAATTAGTCACTACTTCTCCTGGGCTCACTCCCAGGGCCACCCAGTTAATTCCCCTCTGGTGCATATCTTGGTCCCATTTGAATGTGGACTAGCCTAGTGACATCTCACTGAACTTATTATCATATTTTAATAAAAACTAATTGTATCATTAATTATTCACCATTAATCAATTATCTGTTGAAACAACACTGAAATAGCCCCCAAATATTTTCATCAATTCTTTTCCCACACTGCATTGCACATTTGCTCATGCAATAAGCACTTGCTCATTTGACTCCTCTAGTC